GTAGTGAGATTGGCCCAGGATCGGACATTGTTTCGTTCTGCTGTGCATGGGGTCGCTATGAGTCGGTTCTGACTCGATGGCACCTGACAACAACATCAATGTGATGGAAGCCCATCTTCTTCTGAGGGAGTTCTTCCACATACAGATTAATTAAGGTCAAGGAAGGGCTGTAGTTGAGAGATTGAGTAGCAGGGACCACACGTTGTTTCTTTGTTCTGGAGTCATGCTTACTGTTGCTCTGAACTGTAACTAGGACTATGCTTTGGGAAGGCAGAGAATCTCCTTGGACCTCAGGGAAGTCACAACTTGTCAATGGAGCTCAGACCTCATCTTTTTGTTGTTGTTGTTACTGTTTATCCAGCATATCCACCACCATCTGTCCATTTGTTGTAGTGTTCTGGCTTCCAAGTTGCTATAATTAGAGTGTGTTTGGTTTTATTTACTACAATTTTAATCAGGAATAACTCTCTGGGTGGCACAAATAGTTAACTTCTCCAAAAGGCTGGTGGTTCAAAACTTACCCAGCAGCACCTCAGAAGACAGATGCGGTGATGGTCTTCTGAAAGGTGATAGTCTTTCAAACTCTATGATGTAACAGTTCTACTCTGCAAACATGGAGTTGTATGCAACTAAGGATAGCAACTAATGACAAATCAGATATAAGGATACAGATATATATGACATCACCTTAAACTGGAAATCACATCATACATTTTAAATGATTGAGTAGTTATTCAGGTCTAACCAGAGTTACTGTATTAACTTTGGAGAATATTATGTATGCAAAGGAGCCTCGTAATTCAAAACAGTAACTGCTGTAGACAGGCCTCCTTTAGAACTTAAATATTTTGTTAGGAAGAACACTGACAAAAATAATCTTGCATATGCTTACCCTAGTGGTTTGGTAGCCAGAAGCATCTATCAAGGGATTGTCTTCTACCATTGCCTCCACTGTGCTACTGAATTGTTTTTCTAGAATGGGGAGATGTAGGTTGTTGTACAAAACATTTATCTTCAACAGCAGTACATCTAATAGATCTTCAAATTCATCCAGATAGTAAATCTGAAGAGAAGAAAATTAGATTAGTAAATATATTCAAGCACGTAATTTCCCTCATTCTCTGAAGTACTTAATAATATTGACTTGTTTTTTTCTATTATTAATATTTTCCTCATGTTATTTCTAAAGCACAAAAGTTTCTAATTTTTTTATTATTATAGATGTTTTTATTACTTGGTCAAATATTTAGATTTATAATACATTTAGAAACATTGTTTACAAAGATACTTTTTTCAATAAGGTAATTTTTAAATTTCCAATATCACTCTTATGCACACAAAAAAATCTAAAAACATTTAAAATTAGGGTATAGATTTTCTTAAGCAAAATCTGCAGAGGCTATTCTAATATTATTTTTTAAATTGAAGCATATAGGATGATTTATTTTGAGTTATATGATAGTTTACATGGGAGAACATTAGCTTCACATTGATCCCATCGTATATTGTTTCCTTGCCATGGTTACAATCCCATGGTTACATCAACCAACCCCCGCAAGCCTGCCCCCCGGTCCTCAGCACACAGGCCCTCTCCCTCCCCAGGTCCAAAGTCCCCAGCCGCTACATCTCTCTTAGTCGGTGTCTCTGCCTCCATCTCCGGCATCACCACTTCCCTGGATAGGGTTCCATTCTCAACTCTTCTCCCTTGATGGTCCCAGAGACCTCCGCCCCTAGATGGCAAAGTTAAGCCCTCCCCTCCCTTTGCTACAAAATGTCTATCTTTACATTTCCAGCCCTCAGAATCATTCCTGATAACAATTATTCACCACTGTATTGCAAGAGGCCTATCCGCATCTCCTTTCCTCGGCCCCGCCTAGACAGATTGGATACTACTCAGTAGAGATTCTACCTTGCTCCATGGCCACTGGATCTAGGTTCTCTCTTGAAAGCTTGTAAGCCAGACACTTCTTGCCTCTGTAACCCCGCCATTCTGGGTAGCCAATGTCTAAGTTGCCCATCCCTGTCCTCTCATTGTGTGGAGAGGATGGGAGTGATCCTCGCTGTGAAGATTTGTTCCCTCTTTTGAGCTACTGCTTCCATAGGTTCATCAAATTTTATCAGATTACTATTTTTTCCCTTCTTTCTTCTTCTGTTTGAGCTCTGATCATCCAGCCATTGAAGTCAGGTCAGGTGGGAATTATCTGCAAGTATGGATATACGTATGCTTGTGCCCTCTCTTCTTATCTCCTGGACGCTTCACTCTCCACTCTAGTCCTCTGTGGCTATGTCACTGACTCTGGGTCCAAGAGTCCCCTAGACTTGCACCTCTGCTGGCAAGCCACGTCTCCAGCCGAGTTCACAGAAGTCCACTGAACACTGTAGGGCTTAGCTTGCAGCTCCACTGCTGCCCTTCCCTTATTTCCACCTATCAGCGACTAATGTGGTCACCAATCAGAGCGTGTATTCCCATTGGGACCCAACCTTTGAAGGAGGTTTTTCCTGAGGGGAGTCGACCACTTGCCTTGATGTCTCCTGGGCGAGCCACTTATTTGGTCTCAAAATCAGTCAATCTGCCTGTATTGTTTTGCATTTTTCCTGTCTTTCTTTCAGGAAATATCTTTTGTTCTTCTGGCTGCTCCAGGTTGGTCTGCTTGTCCTTTCAAGTGGAAATTTCCCCTCAGAAGATTCTGGGTGTTGTTCAGGAATCCACCTATGGTCTTGTGTAATACAGAGACTGTGCAGGGAGCCTCCTTCACCTGGCACGTTGCACCCCCATTTTAGGTATTCCAATCAGTTATAAGCAGAAGATGGGCTAACAAGCTATCTATGGTAATATTTCTGGCTATTCCCTTCTCTCCCCTCCAGTATCTATTTTATAGTGGTATGCCAGGGAAACCAAGATTCAAAAGACAGCCAAGCATCTTAACATTATTTCCCCCCTTTTCCTCATTCCAACCATGTCTCAATCTCTTTATCCCATAACCCTGTTGTTCCAGGGTTGTGCGTACATCATTATTTGCCTCTGTCCCACTTCAGCTTCACATTCATCCTATCATATTACATTTCATTGCAATGATTACAATCCCCTCCATGCATCGTCAAATAACCAAAGGATACACCCCACAGTCCCACCCCCCTGGCTGTCAGCAAACAGTTCCTCTCCCTCCCTGAGTCCCGTGTCCCCAGCCACTCCATCTGTCCACGCCAACATCTCTGTCTACATGCCTGGCTTCACTGCCTCTCTGGGTAGGGTCACACTTTCCGCTCTTCTCGCTAGATGGTCCCAGGGACTTCTGCTCCTGGGCGGCAAAATCAATCAATCTCCTCCTTTTGCCAAAAAAAACTACCTCTACATTTCCGACCTTCACAGACAGTCCTGATGGCAGGTATTCATTGTTGTACCACAAGAGTCTTATCCCCATTTCCTTTCATCAGCCCAGTCCCAACAGATTGGAAATCATACAGTGGAGGTTCTTCCTACCCCTGCCCCATCTCGAACTAGGCTCCCCCTTGAAAGCCTGTAAGCCAGTCACTTCTTGCCTTTATAGCCACCCACCCCCGCAACACATTTTGGGTCTGGGCAACTTCTAGCTCCCCTCAAGGCATTCCAGTCAGTTATAGACTGAAGCTGGACTTACAAGTATTCTGTTGTGATGTTTCTGGCTATCTCCCCCAGCCCCCAAGTGTCTATTTCACAATGGTAGGCAAGGGAAACCAAGATTTAAAAGACAGCCAAGCATCCTAAGATTATTCACTTTTTATCCCCTTTCAGGCCATGGCTCTATCCCTGTATCCTGAAGCACTGTTATTCCAAGGTTGTGCATACATCATCATTTACCTCTGCCATGGGAACCTGCCCAACCTTTCTCCAGTCCACCTTGTTCTTCTTTTTCCCTCCCTTTCTTGTGTATTGCCGCCCCCTCCACCCCCCCAGCCCCCAGCCCCCAGGCTCTCCTCTGTCTATTCCCTATCCCGTGCTCTTTCTTCCCCTCCCTACCTTCCCTGTTCTCATCCCATACATCCCAGTGTTCAGCAATTATATATACAGATTTTTCCCCCCTTTTGGGTGGGTTCTTTTTCTCAGGCCTTTATAATAATGGTCCTACGCAGTATTTCTCCTTTTGTGACTAGTTTCACTCAGCATAATGTCCTCAAAAGGAGCTCTGGTAGCGTAGTGGTTAGGAATCGGGCTGCTAACTGCAAGGTCAGCAGTTCGAAACTACCAGTTGCTCCATGGGAAAAAGATGAGGCTTTCTGCTCCAGTAGAGATTTACAGCCTCGGAAACCTTGTTCAGGGTGGCTATGGGTCGGAACGAACTCGACAACACTTAACAACAACAACAAACAATGTCCTCAAGGTTCATCCATGTTATACAGTGGCTTGCAGCTTCCTTTTTGTTCTTCAAGGTAGCATAGTATTTCATTGTGTGCATGTACCACAGTTTGTTTATCCATTCTTCAATTGATGTACATTTTGTTTGCTCAATTTTTTTGCTATTGTAAATAGTGCTGCTGTGAACATTGGTGTGCATATATCTACTCATGTTATGGCTCGTATTTCTTGTGGGTAAATTCCAAGTAGAAGAATTGCTATTTACAACCTTCTGAGGAAGTGCCATATTGCTTTCCAGAGTGGATGGACCATTTTGCAGTCCCACCAACAATGTAGGAATGTCCCAGTCTTTCCACAGCATGGCAAGCATTTGTTGTCCTCTACTTTTTTGATCTTTGCTGTTATTGCTGGTGTGAGATGGTATCTCATTGTTGTTTTGATTTGCATTTCTCTGATGGCTAGTGATTGTGAACATTTCTTCGTGTGTTTGTTGGCTGCCCAGATCTCCTCCTTGGTGAAGTGTCGGTTCATGTCCTGTGCCCATTTTTTTTTTTTTTTTAATTGGGTTATTTGTCTTTTTCTTGTAGAGGTGTTGTAGTTTCCTATATATTTTAGAAATTAGTCCATTATCTAGTGTGTCACTGCAAAAGACTTTTTCCCATTCTGTGGGTTCCCTTTTTACTCTTTTGGTAAAGTCTTTTGATGTACATAAGTTTTAATTTTTAGTATGTCCCACTCATCTATTTTGTCTACTTTGGTTGTGTACTTTTCAAAATGTTTGGTAGTCTGTGTATGCTTTGAATTAGCATCCTCACTTTCGTTCCTATTTTTTCATTGATGACCTTCATAATTTTGGAATTCACATTTAGATCTTTAATCCATGCTGAGTTCATTTTTGTATAAGGCGTGAGGTAAAGGTCTTGTTTCAGTCTTTTGTATATTGCTTTCCAGTTCTGCCAGCACCATTTTTTAATGCCCATGCAATATGCCTAGACACTTTGTCAAAAATCATTTGGCTGTATGTGGATGGGTTAATTTCTGGATTGTCGATTCTGTTCCATTGATCAATGCATCTTTCATTGTACCAGTACCAGGCTGTTTTGACTACCGTGGTCATGTAGTAAATTTTGAAACTGGGGAGTGAAAGACCTCCAACCTTGTTCTTATCCTGGGTCTCTTTCCTTTCCATATGAAGCTACTGTCTTTTCCATCTCTTTGAAAAATGTCGTTGGAATCTGGATTGGAATTGCATTATCTGTGTAAATTGCTTTGGGCAGTACTGACATTTTCACGATGTTGATATTGAGTCTTCCTATCCAGGAACATGGTATGTTCTCCCACTTCTGTATGTCTGTTTTGGTTTCTTGTAGTAGTGTTTTGTAATTTTCTTTGTATACGTCCTTTGTTTCTCTGGTTATGTTTATTCCTAAATATTTCATCCTTTGGGTGGCTATTGCAAATGGTATTGCTTGCCTAATGTCCTTTTCAGTGCTATTGTTGTTGCTATAGAGAAATCCAACTGATTTTTGTATGTTGGTCTTATATCCTGCCACTTTGCTGAATCTTCCAATGAGGTATAGTAGGGTTTTTTTTTTACTGAGTCTTTGGGGTTTTCTATGTATAGGATCAAATCGTCTGCAAATAGAGTTTTACTTCCTCTTTGCCAATTTTGTTGCCTTTAATTTCTCTATCTTGCTGTATAGCTCTGGCTAAAACTTCCAGCACAATAT